CGGAGACCACCTCCATAACTTCGTTCATAGAATCGTTTGGCAGATTTTGAATGCAGATTTGAAATCAGCGTCAAAAAATAAGCCTAGCGGTATGGGTCCCATTTCAAATGGCCACTTCGACTTGGGATCCTTCCCTTGTAAGAGGAACAGGGTAGTTGTATTCGTGATTGAGATGCTGTAGCTTTTAGTATAGGTTTTTGAAAGTAGGAATATCTATTTAAATCTTTACGCAGTTGATGCCATGTTGTTGCCTAACATATCACGCATATGTATCTCCAATTCAATGTATTTAGTATTTATCACACAATATCTCCACAATCAAAGCACTGTTTACAATTTAATACGTCGGAGAGATCGCTAACGTCAAATAGACGAAATTCTCTCATCCTGTCCGTCTTTCTTCCCTCCATCGCTAGGCGAAAACTTTTTATTGAAAAAAAGAACATATGTGGGATTTTCGGCTCATCAAACAAAAATTTTTTATGAGTTTTTGGTTTTGCGAATCCTTTTTTCTCTTTTCTCCATTTCCATACTTCTGTTCTGTGTACACTTTGATGAGCACAAGAAGGGGTACGATGGTATATTGTGGGGTTCCATACTTCTTCCTGTCTAACCAAAAGCGGGCATGTTGGCACGTTCTGTCCTTATGAACTTCATTTTTGCGGTAGCAAACTCGTACAAGAATCAGAGGTCAAAATGACATATATGTGTATGAAACTTTGGGAATGAGAAACACAGGGAGACAGGCGTTAGGAACGATTTTAGGTAATCGATTTGCCGCACGCGGCTGTCGCGGACCACTCATTCGCTGTTATTACAGCTCTAGCGTTCTTCATACAGCTCAATCGATATGCGATCATTATTTTATGCATAATTCTACTATTAGTACTTTTGTTCTTGTATTTCTTACCTACTGCTGCATCCTGCTACATTCCTTCGCGCGCCACGCCCCTCTCACCGCGACGCGACCGTTTCGTTCCTAACGCACCACACTCAGAAACACTACATGTCAGCTACAGTAGGTGCAAGCTATGTCATCAGTTCTCATTCATCACTCCATTAGCAATGATGTAATTCTCGCTAGACCACCATCATCATAATGAAGATGTATTCGTATAAAGAATATATCAACCTTCATGATAATAATATTCTACTTCATGTGAGATTTGTCCCTCAGAAGAAACTTCTATGTATTCGAATCATGTAATTTGCCATATCAAGCTTCTGCAAAAATTTATCACTACAATTTATTACATGCACGAAAAGTACATGGAAACCTGGACAAAAGTTCAAATAGCAACCAAATGATCAAACAAACAAAGCAATCTAAGATGTGTGAAAAGGAAATAAAAAAATACAAACAATAACGAGAGTAAAAGAGACAAAAAAGAAACGCTCCTGACTATCTTCTAGGTATCATAGGTATCATAGTGTAATAAAAACGCGACTGATTGCGAGCTCAACAATAAAATGTAGACAAAATTTGCTTGGGATGGTGTAAACTCTTGGTTAATTCACTTAACGCAGAAGCACTAATTGAGAAAGAGTTCGCTCTTATACTGGTTTTTGCACCGATATTTTCCCTGTTTACTGTGCTAAGGTCGAATTATCCTGACCGGGTGTTGTCAAAAGTCAGGCTGTTATATGCAAAGACCGGGGTTAACATCACGCGTGTACGAAAAAGCGACGCATTATGTATTAGGCTGTATTATGATATTGTAATGCCAGTCGAGTGGCCCTGCTCACGCCGTGCCTCATTCCTTACTTTTACCAAGTAGTTAGGAAGTGTAGTTAGGGAGGGTGGAGGGGGGAGCGGTTATCCAACACTGAGGGCTAGAGTGCAGAAGAGGGATAGCCGACCTGATCTGTTCTAAAAACGGTACTAGACGAGAGAATATAGTTTCAAGCTAAGCCCTTAAAAGGGGAGGTGTGGCATGAGGGAGGTCGAACCCGTGATCGGTCAGGGAGTGATCGACCGCCAAAGAGGCGCAGTTTCGGCGGGAAGTATTAGGATAAAAGGAGGGCGAGGAACGTTTCAAACGTCTTCTTGTCTGCGGAACTCGAAGGAACCCAAGCCCAAACTGCGCCTCTCCCCAGGAACCGCCTAATAATTTATCCGATACGCGGGGTCCGGCCCAAGGACTCAATCGCCTGGACCGGACCCCGCGCATCATGGTGATCCCATCTTTTTCTCCGTTGTTGTTTATTGTTAGTTCATTTGATTGTTGTCGTTTTGAATTTTTTTGTTGTCCGCGTATCGGATAAATTATTTGTGTTTCGCGTGTCACTGTGCCAGCCGTTGTAACGGCTCTACTTCTAGTAGTAACCAGGGTTCGGAACTACAGAGGAGCGGTCGGGTGGGGCTGGGATGATTACATCGTGCATTGACTCACCCACCTCGATGCCCCTTTCCTCCTGAAGCTCAGATCAAAAAACTGTGTTCTCTGCTAGAAAACGTTGCATTATTAAGAGCCAGCCTCCTTACGTTGAAATTAATATGTTGAAAAAAGCAATTTCACTCCACATCACTCACTTCTCTCCGCAGTACTCACTCTACTGCATGAACCTACACACCAAGTGACGGCCTTATACATATACGAGAAGAGAGTGTAGAATGGAGTTAGGTTTTCCATATCACTAACTTTATCGTAATCATACGTTATGCGGACGGACAGACCGACAAACCGACAGACCAAGTTTCTGCTTTATGAATGAAAGAGATAAGGCAAGATTAACAAAATAAGGATGAATATGAGAAAAGTAAAGATGCGACGAAAAACTTCGAGATGAATCGGAAAGACGAGTCGTGAGAAATTAACTCGCCCCGTTCTTCGACTTGTGTGGGTTACCGCTACCACCGACTTCTAGTCGACGCGGTAAACCCACTGCGAAAATGTCTGAATAGATAGTTCGAGAGGTGGCTCACATGTCTTCTTCTCCATATTCAAGGTAGGTTCCCAATTGTAACTTACGAGGACTTTCTAGGTATTTATAGACTATACTTTGACTAACGGGAGAAGCGAATGTAATGGCGAGTGGCGCACTTCTTGTGCGGTCACGGGTTCGACCCTTGATCGATAGCCAAAAAAGCCATCTATCCCTCCGAGGTAGGGTCGTCTGGGAGACTAAAAGCACTGAGTTGTACATCGGCTGGCCACCGCAAGTCATTTTGTAGGCCATTCCATACGTCACTAAATGGAAGTCGAATGCGTAGGCTCCCTCAGATGGGATTGATAAACGCCCCAAGACTTTAAGACCTGGACTGAGCTGTTTGATAAGGATGACTCTGTTATATTTTAGGCTTCCAGGCTCTGACGAAAGCGATAAAGTCTAAAGATAGAAGTAAGCATAGAGCGATTTGGTGCATTAAAAATTAATAGGCACCCAGAAAAAAAAAGGGAAATCACAGATTGGATTGGATCACAGAGATTCAGAGAAGAATGAAAAATGAAGCCACGCCACTAGGCACTGATCAACCCGCTTCTTCAGAATGGGTCATTCGAATTCCATTCAGACTCGTAGTGACAATTATAGTGACAACTGGATGTTATAAGGATGTTATAAGGGGTTATAAGGCATGATCCACTTTGGCGTTCGCATCCTCCTTGGCAGCTATGTGATTACTCGGCCTTGATCCTGCAAAGTATGTTCTATTTGATGTACATTCACATTGTTCATTATTTTATAATTCTATTCCAAGACTGACTTCCTCTTTATTGCGACTGCTCTCAAGACACGATTACCAGCGACATAGGTTAATCCACCAACCACGGCTAGATACCTCAGCGTCTCAAACATGTTCAGCTGGAGCCAGAACACGATATACAAGGCGAATAGTGCTAAAATACAGATACTATAAGGACATAATCCACTGATTGGGAGGAAGACCAACTTTAAGAAACACGTAGACACCAACAATACATCAGAGCGACCTGCAAGACTTCCGTGGAAAATCAGTGTCCATACGTTGAGTGGCATATTACCGAAATTCAGCCCAATACGTAGCCACTGGAAATGAGAGACGCAGCATAGATGATGGCATGTTAGAATCTATAAAATATCTTACCAATACAAGCAGAAGCAACAACGGAGCCAAGCAAATCAGAGTGAAAGCATCGGAAACAATAGTGCATGGTCTGTTCTCTGGTTGACGGAAGATATGCCTAATTTCCGGCAGCTTATCGTAGTTGATACGCTGAGACTTGGGTACGATCTCTAGAGGGGCAGGTGGAAGAGTAAGCATAAAGTCCGCCTAAATGAAAAATGCAAGTGCGAACTACATCGTCTACATTCATAAAAATGAGAAAAAGAAGTCAAGACCAAATTACTCACAAAAGACCAGTTCAATGAAGATCTAATGGTAGCATCACCAATAATTAGGTATGCTGTGTACTTCCCAGATACGCCTTCAAAATCTTTGTGAGCTTCGGCTAGGTTCTGAAATATAAGAATGCAGAAAAACAGTGTAGTTCACTACTAGTTAGCAAATACTTAAGAGTTCATTCCGTTTGTAGCTTCAACTTTACTCAGTTTCAAATGATCCTCATTCCAAACATAATCAACAAAAGCATTAGAGTAAAGTATCAACAAAAAACTGACTATATCAACAAAGTATTTCCCTCCGGTTTGCACATCAGCTGTGTAGAAGACTTCGGCACCGTTGACATGCTTGAATAGAATGAAAGTCTGAATAAGATGACTCGTATATTGAATTCATAGAGCAAAGCAATTAACATATACACACTTGATGGGGTTGGACCAAACGCATCGTAACCTTGCTCTTGACGGAGAATGACACGTACAACCGCTTGGTATTGTCTGCCTCAATTACCTTTTCATACTTCGAGAACTGAGCAACACTGCAATGCGAACAAACACTACCCTAATTGAATTATTGTAGTAAAGGGGTCGAAACAATGAGTACAAAGCGCCGGAGTAAGATGCCTAGACAGACTCCTGCCCTAAAGAGTGTAAAAAAGTAATAGGCACAAGTAGGCAAGGTAAACAGGAGAGGAACAGTAACGTTCTTGCGGGGTTTGCGACGATGAATTCGCAACGGTAACGTACTGCAATTTTCCTCCAAAATTAAGCGCAATTTTGCGCATTTACAGTTAAGTGGGATAACATAGTCAATAAAACAGGCGATACACGGGCAAAATGGTGCACCCCTCGACCTTTTGCAAGTGTGGACCACTAGCTACATCATTCCTGCGGAAACGGGATTCTTGCAAAGTCACGAGTCATAATAGACGAAGGATTTTGGAACAAAAAAGAAACAGAACAACAGTGAGAAGGGAACAAAAAGCAAATATAAGGACTGACAGCAAAACTAATTGTTCGAAAGAAATTGACTTACAAACCTAACTAGAATGGCGCCGCTGGCAACATCATCTTTTTCAAGTGCACCAACTTCGAAATCCTCTACCATCACTTCATCGGATGACTTCAAAGTTGTTCTCGAATTGGTTAGTCCAACATGTCGTTCATCCTAAGCAAAGGAAAACGATAGTGAGTAGTTACGCAATTGCTGGTATACCTACCTGTGATTCAATTTTCACATTAACGTTGTAGAATCCAGGTGAATCTTGCTCCTTATCGAGACCAAATGAAAAGGGCACTGATGATCTGAAACAATATGTATCGATGCAATATCGTCCACAGATAAACCTAAAAACGAAACGTACGCTTGAGGTGTAAGCGGCAAATTTTCCATAACAGATAAGGACCCTCCTTGTGGGGTGATGTCAACACGAACACCCGACACAGAAACGAGTAAGCCGAACATTGCAACGTTGCAAACAGCGATGACGATTGGCTGCAGAAATATCTTCATGGAAAAAGATGGTTTCGGGAACTAAAAAGACTTACGTCCATGCTATGAATCATCACAGGCTTTAGTCGAGAAGCAACAACTGACACAAGTTGACTATATTCATCAAAACTCCAAGTGCGCTGAGCAAGTGGGACGCAACCTTTTCAGGACGAGTGCTACAGAGCGAAAGGCACCAAGGAGCATCTTCCGCCACGCGCGTGCGGCTGCACAGATATTTGTCTGTGTTATTTTATTTGTTATGTTTTAGTTATTTGTCTTTCATTTCTCTAGCATTGGAGCGCAACATAGTTTGCGCTTCATTTTCAAGAATGCACTATAGGAACTCCTACTTTTCCGGGGACGGAACATTCTGCGATTCGAGCTGCGCGCGGCAAAATGCGTGGCGAAATTCGTGGCCATTTAAACAACCCTTGCGCCTAGTATTGAAGCACTAACTCAAAGTAGAATGGATTAGAATAGTCAGCTGATCCTGCCAATCTATTCTACTTCAACTTTGGGCCCCAATAGTAGGCGCCAGGGTTGTTTGAATGGCCACGAATTTCGCCGCGCATTTTGCCGCGCGCAGCTCGAGTCGCACGAATGCACACACACTACGTTTCCAAGCGTCGAATATGTGGCCGGTGGAAATTGGTGCATTCAAATAGGCTTGTGCCGTGGAATGAAATATATTGGCGAAAGATGCTTTTTGATGCCTTCCGCTCTGTAGCACTCGTCCAATCGACCGACCGACTGCGGCGCTAGCCACGTGCTGACAACGCTGGACAGATTGCGTTCGAAGCCGCGTGAGTTGAGGGTGCGTGACCAATGTGTCCAACATTGTCATCACGTGGCTAACGCCGCCGTCGGTCGGTCGGTCGGCCGGTAGGCGGTCTTCGGTTACGTCGTTGAACTCTGGAAGCGCCCGCCAACATCAATATTCCGTGAATAGCGTTCGCTGTCGTTGTCGAATCACCATCAAACTTAAAATGAATGACTTAGATACATATGGATTAGTTACGGTGGCAGGCAACCAACAGGGAACGGAATATGTATTCGCCGAACCGACACTTATACTTTCTCACTGTCTATCAGTCCTGTCATTCTGATTCATCTTCATTGCTCACCTCTACACGTCCTCTCTCACACTCGCTCACACTTTCCTCTTAGTGACCCTTCGGTCACCCAGACGGGAGGTCACAACAGAACAATTAACCTCAAAATTATTTATTTACCACTCAATTTTCAACGCCACCGCGTTAAGCAGGCGTTGTAGTAGCCGTTCGCTCTCCACGCGAGCGGCTCCTATCTCCGCTTTGGTGGACGCAAATGCCCTGCAACTTCCGAATGGCCGCCCACAGCGACCTATTCCGCCGTTGCACCACACAGGGTACCACAGCCGGGCAGCTCGCCGCCTGGTACGCCGACATCGCCGTCGTCCATTGAGCGGTGGATAGCAGGATGATCGGCGTTCTGGTGGGGGGAGGGGGCTTGTCCCGCTACACCTCCTCATCTTCCTATTCTCCAAGAACTCCCCCATTCTCTCGGTTTCCTGTCGCTTTTTGCGGAATCCTGCTCTAATCGATAAGCCCTGTTCTGCCCTTCGTCTCGTAGTTCCCGGTCCGTTTTTCTGAGCAACTCATCGTCTATTGACTCCCATGGAATCACCAGCAGCTTCATCTGATCGGCATGGGTTTTCCTTATTTCCTCCTCATGCCTTTTCCCTTTTTCCCTTTTCCTTATTTTTTTTTATTTTTTTATTTTATATGCACTCAGTGTGCACCCTATTACACACACAACAGAAGACTGGGCATGACCGGAGCGTAACCAAACGAAACGAAAAAAACCAAACAACCTAGCAAATACTGACGAATTGTAACATAAAGTAGGCAAAAAAGCAACATAAGGGCAAAAGCAAGGTGAAAACATAAGCGAAAGCACTCGTATACATATTGAGACAGACTAAGTGACATTCTGATTGGAGGGGAGGGCACTATGACGAGGTAGAAGGAAGCTATCGGTAGGGCAGCACTTTAGAGCGAATAACACATAACTATAGCATTCGAATGGACGTTATTGGACAGAACACCACACACAGTATGTAAATGAAGTTATTCTTGCCTCTATGCGACCCCACTGCATGACTTAAGAGCTGCATTGAAACTGGCAATAAAGACTGGCAATAGAAGGTTCAGCCTGAGCAACGCAACTAGCCAGCCGTGGCTATTCCGGAGCGGGCATGGTACATGCCTCTTTGATCTAAACACGAACCTCGGGCGTAGAACTCAGACCCAAGTACCTATAAAAAGCGCGCACTTGTTAACCCTCGCTTTCCTTGAAAAATTAGACGACAGCCAGAACAGTGGGTAGCAGAGGACTGTAGGTGCATTCTACTGCTAATTCATGTCCTACAATGGCCAAGGATGGCAGGACGAAGGTTAAGACAAGTGGCGGCCCTACGCTAGAGCTTGCCTAGAGCTTACGCAAGAAATGAGATTGAATGATCCTACTATATATAATTCGCTAAGTGTGTCACCAGACTGCGCCTACAAGGGGTGAGGTGTGCGCCACAGAAATTTTGGGCTGCAAATTCATAACTCCTGTCCCCGTGGACCGTTCAAACTTGGTAAGAGTACGGGAGCAGGATGGGAGCACTTATGTCGGGTGGCAGGACCGACTCCGCGCACAGGAGGGGATGCGTGCGCAATCAAATTTGGGCCGCAAATTAATAATCCTGTTTACGCGGACCTAGAGCGTTGAAATTTGGTAGGATAACCTCAACATTTCAGTAAGTGATGTAGGATATGACGGGATCGTAGGTACTTGGTGAAAAGAACTGATCATAACTGATAAAGAAGATAAGGGACCTGGGAGAGGCCACCTACCTATCAGAATCCTAACGTCTTCGGTATTTACGATG